CCCAAAATATTTTGTATTTTATTAGAGACAGGGTCTCACTGAGTTGCTTAGGGCCTTGCTAAATTGCTGAGGTTGGCTTTGAACTCACAGTCCTCCTGTCTCAGCCCCCAAGCTGCTAGGATTATAGGCATGTGCCACCACACCCAGCAGGCCTCCTTTCTCTTAAACACACTTTAGGACTGGCGTGTAGCCCAGTGGTAGAGCACTTGCCTAGCATTCATGAGGCCCTGGGTTCCATCCCAGGACCACAAAACAAACAAAACCCACAATCAAAAATAAGTAAAATGATCCACTTGGGTCTTTTCCGTGCACTAACATCTCCCAATTGTGTATTTCCTGTTTGTACCCCTCCTAGGAATGCCAGTCACTAGCTGCTGAACCCTGTCTTCTGCAGACCCTTCTGCAGATCAGGTGTTCCTGTCACTGTCATGGCAACGTCCTTGTCCTGTGCTCAGCCAGAGGCCTTCGGCAGCCTTTTGACTGCTTTTCCTATCACGAGCCATGTCCAAGTCATCCACAAAACTTGCTGACTCCTTAAGCCTTGTGCAGAAATCGACCACTTTTACTGCCACCACCGAATCCCCCGCGCCTTGACTGCTGTGAGTGTCCCCCAGGGGATTCTCCTCATCTCCCTACAATTTTTTGCAAGGTGTTTTTAAATCCACCAGCCGGTGAGTGTCAGCCAGAACATGTGTCGGTGGCTCATGGTTCATGCTCCACCATGGGGCTGCGCTGCCACCCTCTTGGTTTAGGTGATGCCCCTTAACGAGGCCCTCCCCATCTGCGCCTCGGTTGACCAGTCCTGGTGGCACTCTGCTTACTTTGTCTTGTGCTTGGCAGGGTGGCTGCCTGTGCCACTGGCTGACCTCCCCTCCTTATTGGCTGTGCTAACCCTCCTCAGATTGCCCAGGTGCCCCCTCTGAGCTCCCGCCTGCTCTTCCTCTGCCAGGGCTCTTGCACCAGGAGGCCACTTCCTTACAGTCTCTGTTCTCTGCTCAAATGCCAGCTTTGGTTGAGGCCTCCAAGGGCATAGTATGTAAAATGGCACTGCTCCGTCCACTAGGGTTCCCTATCCTTTCTCCTTCTTTTTCTCCATATGACAAATTACATATGGTCAGAGGGGAGACGAGGGGGGAGAGATTTTATTTGATCTTTTGAAAAAATCATGCAGGGTTATTGTCAGCTTTTCATCTCTTAATATGGTATTGTCTCTCCCCACTAGGACACAGCTCAGTGAGGACAGAGAGTTCCGTCTGTTTAGCCATAGCTGGTAAAGATGAATCTGTGGGCTGTGTGTCTGCTGGGTTTCATTTCTGGGTTTCTAATTCTGATTTGGAATACTTTTCGTACCTTGTATCATTTTCTTAAATGACCTTTAGTTCACTTTGAACTGGGGCACAGTTTGATTTGTCTCTGGGCATCTTCTGAATGATGTTCTGTTATCTTTTTTCTTTTAATCTGGAATTGATTTTTCTAACTTGTCCAGATAGATAGGAGGTGTGGTTCAGTGTGGTTCAGGATAGTTTTTCTGACTTTCCCTAATTTCTCGAATGTTGGTCTCGCTCTTCTTCCCTGTGCTGGGGATCAAGCCCAGGGTCTCACAGTAGGCCATGGCTCTACCACTGAGCTACATCCCTCTCCAACCCTCAAATACTGGACTCCTATTGGACAGCACAACCCCTTTTCACATTCATTTTTGCATGATACTTTCTTTATCACAATAACTGTCACTGGAGAGTGAGGAGTTCCCAGAGAAGGAGACTTCAACTTAAGACAAGTAGAGTTCTGGGGCTCTTGACAGATCGTGCAGAAATGATCTTAAGGGTGTATCAACTAGAGACACAGACATATAATTTAGGAAAGCAGAGACATTCAAGGGCAAATGTGGGCCATCTAGAAAGTAAGAGATGGATTTGGGGTTCCCAGCTCCTCTTTTAAAATTAAGTTGGCGGGGCATGGGAAGGTGTGTGGAGATGACAATCTGGTGATTATAAGCAGGTTTATGGTAGTCTGGTCATTCTCTGAATCCCTAGGCTGACATGGTCTCTATTATCTGATCAGTAGATAACATTGGAAAGTACCCTTAATTATAGGTTTCTTAAAATATCATCTCTCTTGCTTAATCTATTCATTATGTATGTTAATAAACAGTGTACAAGGCAATTTTTAAAATCTATGTAGTTGTCAATGAACCTTTGTTTATATATGTGGTGCTGAGAATCAAACCCAGTGTCTCACACATGTCAAGCAAGTGCTCTACCACTGCGCCACAGCCCCAGTCCCACAAGGTAATCTTTATAAGTCAATGAATATATGATAGCTTTAAATTTAGACATTTTCCAGAAATTGGGGAGTGATAGGCCTGGAAGAAAAACTACTTGGGGAGTGACAGGCTTGAGAGAGAGAGCTGGCCTAGGGAGGGATTTTTTTTAGATGAAAGTTGTATTTCATTATGTCATAACAGCCCCAAAGCACAGCTTGGCAAAGACATAATGTCATCCAGAGGAATGTAGAGCCATGCTGTTGAAACCCGTCTGCTTCACGTTGGTAGCATGCCCGCAGCTTGACAGATGTCCGGCATTACAACTTACCTCATCTTGAAAATATACCACGGTGCCCTTTTGAGTTTGCACTGGGGCCCTGGTGCTCCTTGGCACACAGTTTGGGGACCACGATCTCAGTGCTGCTGCAGATCTGGAGACCACCCTCAGGAGCCACAAAGGTGTCAGCTCTGTGGTATTGTTTTTGCTGGGGATTGAACCCATGGGCTCACACAGGCTAGGAAAGTACTCTCCCGTGTAGCTACATCCCAGTCACCAAGAAGAAAGAGTTTGAAAGTGGTGTGGATGAGATAGGTATTGGGGGGTACAGAGAAAAATACTACATCTCACAAAAGAGGTGCCCATGAACCACTGGCCTGCAGTAATCACCCATGAAGCCTTGGAATGCTAAAGTAGTGACTCAGGCTTCCCCGCTGTGTCCTTGTGGCCATATCCTAGCCTGCAGAGGAGCAAGAGGCAGGGCAGCATCCAAGCACAGGGCAAAATGGTGCCAAGTGGCCTGACCCTGCCCTGGCTCCACCTCTTGTCCAGGCCAGCTGCTGTCCCACTGACTCCCAACACTTGCATTTTCAGTAAATCTCTTGTGCCTCAATATGACTCATGTTGAAATTATTTTTTCCTTTTTTGCAGTACTAGGGATCGAACCCAAGGTTTCCTTACCACCGAGCTTCATTCCAAGGCCCTTTTTATTTTTACTTTTTATCTTGAGACAGGCTCTTGCTAAGTTGCCCAGGCTGGCCTTCAATTTGAGATTCTGCTGTTTACATGGCCTCTTGAGTCACTGGGATTACAGGTGTGCGCCACCATACCTACCTATCACATATGTCCAGGGCCCTGTCATCTTGAGTTGAGGTCCCCTTTTTGGGGCCTCCTTGGACAAATTTCTAGTGACATTTCCAGCCAAGTAGAAAATTTCTTCCTTTGGTCTCATACACTAGGTAAGCAGGCAAATCAGTTAAAATGGATTTAAAATGCTGAAATCAAACCCTCTGGAAGCAGCTGTGCATGCGTGTGTTTGTGGGTACGGTTTCTTGGAGATGCCCAGACAGCTGAATGTATGTTGGGAAGACCAGTGTACCGTTTCTTGGTTTTGAGGAGGGGGATAAGAGCACATTCTTAATGGTAGGCTTATTGACCTTGATGTTCAAGAATATTTGACTATTCAAATTAGCTTTGACCTGCCTCAGTGAGTTTGACTGACTGCTAGTTTGAGAGGTTGTCAATCAGCCTGCCAAAGACTTGTCTTTCAAGAGAGAGAATGGATGTGGATATATGGTAGAGAAATCCAGGTTGCTCAGTACAAGGATCGTCACGCACAGAATCGTGGAGGTGATTCCAAGTAAAACTTGCCCCTGAGTTTATTCTAAAATGAAGAGAAAACAGTCAACTTCTAGAAGGGTCATTGAATGGTTTGGGCGAGCTGATGGCTGTCGCTTCCCGTGTGCTCCCCCGTTGAAGACTGAGCTCTGTCCTTAATGAAGTGTGATCTATTGAGAAGCAAAGCACTAGAAAGTGCATGTGAAGACAGCGGCGCTGGGGCACTTTCTGGACCTCTCCTCGTCCTTTCTCGTTCTAAGATCTCAGGAAATGCAAGTCAGGAAAAGGTGCATCCTGGATGGAAACCTGCTGGCTCCTGCCCCTTCTCCTGGCCCCTTTTCTGGAATTTTGAAAACCCAGCATTTGTTACTGCAGAGCATGCTGCCCAGTGTGATAGGAATCCTAGGGAGAGCCCAGCCCTGATAGTGCACTTGACACCAGAAATAGCTGTGGAGTAAATTCAGCCATTGCTTTACGGCATGAGCAGGGCAGCAACCTGCCATACCCCAGCACCTCCCCAGGGTCAACATTAGCTTCCCAACATCTCAGTCTTTACAAACGAGTCTTCAGGTTCTTATGATCTATAGAAAAAGGAATGTGGGTTTTGTTAGGCTGTACTTTGGTGAGACCAGAGTTATAAATCATAAAGACAAATCCTAGGATAGAAGAGACCATCAAGGTCAAGGTAGTCTTCCCTTAAAATAATTGTATATTAGTCAGAGACTGGTGTTAACCACAGTATTTGAATTACCTGTCCAGGTGGAAAGCAGGAACCTGGAAGCTCCTTCAGTTGACCTGTAGAACTGGCTTTGCACCTGAATGTGGCACCATTGCCCACTGAGCGCCCAGTTGGTCCAGACATAACTGCTTGCCTTTCAGCTGAGGCGGGAGAAAGCAGGGTCAGGAGCTAATGTAACTGTGCTTTCCTCTCCCGTAGTGTGTTCCATGGGAAACGGCACGAGCAGACTCTATAGTGCTCTCGCCAAGACACTGAACAGCAGCGCTGCCTCTCAGCACCCAGAGTACTTGGTGTCACCAGACCCAGAACATCTGGAACCCATTGATCCTAAAGAGCTTCTCGAGGAGTGCAGGGCTGTCCTGCATACTCGACCTCCCCGGTTCCAGAGGGACTTTGTGGATCTGAGGACAGATTGCCCCAGTAGCCACCCACCCATTAGGGTCATGCAATGGAACATCCTCGCCCAAGGTATGCCTGATGCTTCTGTGCTCTGACTTCTTTTCTGCTTCTGCACATGCTCAGTGCTCTGGTGTCTGTGTGCAGGGGAGATGTGTGGAAGGAAGGGGTGACTGTCTTTTATCAGGCAACTCAATAGAAGATCCTTAAGCCTTTTGCCCTCAGCTTCCAGTCCATTGCTGTTAGGTGGCATTGGCGGGGTAATATGGAGAATTTTGTGCAGGAGACAGAACTGGGGTGGAGGAACCTAAGTGTTTTTGTGACTCGTTTCCAATCCATTCTCAGCTGTATAACTGGAGACCAAAAAGATGTAGTTTCAACTCTCTGTTCATTGAAATATATTGTTACTGTAGAAAGGTCTCCTTTCCTGAGTCTGCTGAATTAAAAAACAGATGTGTCAATCAAATTTCTGTACATTACCTTTTATGTAGCAGTAGACATTTTAAGGAAAAGAAACAAGGACCATTTTTTTATGATGCATGTATGTCTGTAGCTTCTGGAAAAGAAGGGAATGTGCTGACTTTATCAATCTTTGATTCTTTTCTTTTTTTCCCAAGTATTCCTTCATAAGTAGGAAAAGTACCCATTTAAAGTTCATTCTGAGTAGCATCTACATCAGTTCACATGGCTTTATTATAGTCAGTGTTAAAACTAGTGTATAGAGTAAAATATGTTTATTTCATTTCACAAATTTTAGTTCCCTGGGATGGCAAAGAACAGTTCTCTAACTAAAGCTGAAATCAAAGATCTTTTAGTTTGGAATATAATTTAAAAAAATAGTTTGATATAAAAAGAAGTCAGTTGCTTGCTTCATCTAGATGCTAAGAGGTTATTTAATTGGGGGGATTAGTGGAGTGTAGACTGAGAAGAACCACCCAGGGCATTAAAGCAGAAGCCTGGAGTGGACCTGACCTCAGGAGCCTCCAGCTACCTTGAAGTCATGGTTCTGTAGTCGCTGTCAACTGACTGGCTCTGTCTTTACAGCACTTGGAGAGGGCAAGGACAACTTTGTACAGTGCCCTGTTGAAGCTCTCAAGTGGGAAGAGAGGAAGTGTCTCATTCTGGAGGAAATCCTCGCCTACCAGCCGGACATACTGTGCCTGCAAGAGGTGGACCACTATTTTGACACCTTCCATCCTCTCCTCAGTCGACTGGGCTATCAGGGCACCTTCTTCCCGAAGCCCTGGTCACCTTGTCTGGACGTTGAACACAACAATGGACCAGATGGCTGTGCCTTATTTTTTCTCCAGAACCGGTTCAAGCTGGTCAACAGTGCCAATATCAGGCTGACGGCCATGACGCTGAAGACCAACCAGGTGGCCATTGCTCAGACCCTGGAGTGCAAAGAATCAGGACGACAGTTCTGCATCGCCGTCACCCACTTGAAAGCTCGCACTGGCTGGGAGCGGTTTCGGTCGGCCCAGGGCTGTGACCTTCTCCAGAACCTGCAGAACATCACGCAAGGGGCCAAGATCCCCCTGATCGTCTGCGGGGACTTCAACGCGGAGCCCACCGAAGAGGTCTACAAGCACTTCGCGTCCTCCAGCCTCAACCTCAACAGCGCCTACAAGCTGCTGAGCGCCGACGGGCAGTCGGAGCCCCCGTACACCACCTGGAAGATCCGGACCTCGGGCGAGTGCAGGCACACCCTGGACTACATCTGGTACTCGAGGCAGGCGCTGAGCGTGCGCTCGGCGCTCGACCTGCTCACCGAGGAGCAGATCGGGCCCAACCGGCTCCCCTCCTTCAACTACCCCTCCGACCACCTCTCTCTGGTGTGTGACTTCAGCTTTAACGAGGGACCCGACGCCCTTCTATGAAAGCCCCTCTGGCCTTTAATCCCAGCAGTCTTCGCCAGGGGTGTTCCGGAAGCTGAAGAGGAGGACGTGGCCTGCGGAGGGTCCCCAGGCTCTGCTCCCTTCCTGCCTTTCCAGCATGCCCTTGGGAAGATCCCGGCAGTTCACGAACCTTTTCAACCAAAACCTGTAGCAAAAAAGCTGTGTGCACTCCAGTCTCGGCTTCTGTCCTCCCTCCTGAGCATTCCCTTTGGACCTGTCAGTGAAGGGCATTCAGCTGGGCTCGCTCGAAGCTTCTCAGTTTGCAGATGCTTAGAAACTCGCGGGCTTGCTCGCCTCCTCCGTAGCGAACACTCAGTAGGTAGGAAAATCTCGCTAGAGCGCGTTTCAAGTTATTTATTTGTGAGTTTTTCAAATGTCATCAAGATAATGCATGGCAATATTTATTATTTTTATATCTTCATGTAAAACTAAATTATAGCATCATGAACGTTTTCGAACCGTGCAAGACACAAGTTATAAGTAACTTAGTAATTTTCTTCAAGCTTTAAAATGTTCCCCTCTGGTGGCCTAACAATGTGCACAGAGCAGCTGTTCAGCCTGGGAGGTGGGGAGGGTGTTATCTAAGTCTGAATATGGGGACTGATGCGCTCTTCACCAATACTGCTCTCTCTGCCTCTGTTTCCCATTGTGTTTCTTGAAATTCCAGTTCGTTTTCCATTATTTAATCATTGCTGTATATTGTCCTTTTTCCATTGGGATAATAGTCGTATGCATTTGAAAGTTAGTCAGTATCATCATCATTTGTGTTGGAATGTGCTTTCACCATGATTATTTAGGAGCTGTTATGTGGCCATGGCTAAGAAAGCCGGGGGACCTTCTTTTCAGAGATGTGAAGGCTATTTTGTTTCGTTTTGTATTTGTTTTGGTTTTTTTTTTTTTTTTTTTTTGGTACTGGGGATTGAGCGCATATGTGCTTTACCACTGAGCTACATCCCCAGCCCTTTTTCTAAGACAGGGTCTTTCTGAGTTGCCCAGGCTGGCCCCAAAACTTGTGATCCTCTTGCCTCAGCCTCCTGAGCTGCTAAGATTACAGAGATGGGAAACTATAGAAAGCTTCTAATTGGGCCGTCATAGAAATTTCCTAGGAAAGCGATATGACTGTGGTTTAAAACATCTACAAAGAAGAATGTAAGAAGTTAAAAGATAACCATAATTCTCAACCATCAGAAATAAAAGTGATAAAGATAACAGGTAAAGCCTCTTCCAAACAACATAACCCATCAGGAGTAAACTGGTACATATTTTATTGTATGAGTTGTAAATATTTAAGATTAATAAATGGCCTTTTAAAGCTTGTGCTGTTGATGTCTTGTCTTTTTAGTGCAAAAAGAATCTGGGAGCAGATTGATTGTTGATGCAGTCACATGGTGATCTGCTCTAGCCACTGCTTCGTGGAACCTCACATCACAGTGGGCATGCCCTGGTTTCTGTGGCTGTGGCTTGGCAGCACCCAGTATTTGCTTATGTGGTCCCTCAGTGCCCAGGCTGCAGGTCCCCAGCATGGCTCATCCAAACATTCCAAGTTGGAATCTCTCTCAGAACAAATGAGGTTTTTAGTGGTTTTGTACAGAGAAGAGCATGGGACTACCTGGGAAGAAGAGCAAGCAGGGAGAACCACTGCACCAGGGCACTGGAGAGTCTTAGATGTCTGGTGGTGTCGTGTTGTTGAGAAACAGTAGGGTCAGAGTGCTTTACTCCACAGACCAACCTAAGAGAAACTACGAGAGCCTTAAGCAGGCAAATCCAGGTGAGGATGAAAGCCAAAATTACTTAGAATTTCAAATATCACCAACAAGGGTTGGGGGGAATGTGGGGTGGTTAGGAAGACCACTGGGCAAAAAGGTTTCTGGAAATATCAGTAAGTGAACATTATAAGGTAAGGAGATTGAGATAAACCCACTGTGAAACTTGTGGCAGGAGGCTGAATGTTTACTTTAAGGAAATGCTTCTGTTGTTTGATTTTCTTGTTTTCATTTGAAGTATAATTATGTGAGCATTCTGGTCTGAGAATTTTGGAAGAATATATCAATCTTGTGTTTCATGTTTTGAGTGTGTCTTGTAAGTCTGTTTTTGTGACAGCTTTGCTCTGTGGACTATCAGAGTAACCTGAAGGTATAATGGTAAGTTAACAAATTGTTGCACAGCACTAAATATAGATTCTAAAATTTTAAGTAGGTTCTATGCATAGATTCCTCCCATTCCATTACTAGGTACTTTTAGGTCCTGGTTTTCCTGTGTGTGTGTGTTTTGTGTGTGTGTGTGTGTGTGTGTGTGTGTGTGTGTG